TTTATGTTTATTTATATGTATGTTGTCTATGTGTGTATGGCACACCCATTCAGGTAACTGCCAAGCTCAGGAGAGGGTGCTCAGATCCCATGGAGCTAAAGTTACAGGTGGTTTTGAGCAGACTAACATAGGTGCTGGGATATAAACTCAGGTCTCTGGAAGAGCATCAAATGCTCTTAACAACTGAGCCACTTACCTGCCTTTGAAATATTAGATTTTACGACAATTGGGCCAGGAACTATTTTTGGGCACTGAGGTCTAACATTCATTGACTTTAATTTTGTAAGTATTTGTAAGTCATATTAAACATGATAATTCTACACAACTTTTCTTCCCAGAAATACTTTTAAGCTTTAAAAATGTCAGAAAATATTAAATTTTTATAACCCGATGAAAGTAAAATTTAAAATTTAAATACTTTCAATTGACAATATTATATATCTTTTCAGTACTATTGAAGATATTGGGTCGTAAATGAAATTAAACCTCATAGAAATTTAATTTGGTTGGTTAGCACAAGAATTATAACCTGATCATCGGATCCCAGCTCCTTGGGGAGCTGAAGATAATGTGCTGCCAGGAAGTGAGTGGAGTCAATGATGAAGGCCGTCTTTTCTGTAAATGCACGGGGTGGGGAACAGACTTTATATCCAGGGTCTGAATCCATCAGCCATGTGAGACTGCACTATGTGCTCCCGACCTGGCCAGTGTGCCTTTATTTCATTGTGCTCGCTAGGCCACTGTTATGCTCTTTTTGGTGAGCACTTGTGGAATGCCTACTTTACAGATGGTATCTGGCAAGATTCTGGAGATAATGTATGAAGATGGTGTCTGTGTCTTGGGAAATTTTATAGAGGGTACCATGGTGTGAGACAAAAATTCAAAACTATTATAACATGGAAATGACTCAAAACTGCTGATAAAGGCACAGATTGAGAATGATAAAGATAACTGGGAGTGGGGTAGGGTGGCAGTGGTGCACACCTTTAATTCCAGCACTAGGGAGGCAGAAGCATGCAAATCTCCAAGTTGGAGGCCAGCCTGATCTACAGGGCAAGTTCTAGGACAGCCAGGGCTACACAGAGAAAACCTGTCTCAAAAAACCCCCCGAAATCCAACAACAAAACAAAACACTGAATAATGAAAATACTGATGAAATAGAAAAAAAAAACTTCTAAGGATTTCTTTCTTTTACGTGTGTGTTTTGCCTGCATGCATGTCTGTGTACCACGAGTGTGTCTGCTGCAGCAGAGGTCAGAGTTTCAGGTGGTTGAGAACTGCGCATGGGCACTGGGAAACGAATCCAGGTCTCTGCATGAACAAATGGTCTTTAACACTGAGCCATCTGTCCAGCATGAAGAGAACGTTCGAGGACTCCTGTAAAATACCAGCTATAGCTTTTCTATAGGGATTTTAATAAGCAGGCTGTACTTCAGAGAGTAACAGAAGTTTCACATAAAGCAGCAGAAGACATCTATTTTAGGAAGCTCCCAGAAGGTCACAGGAGGAAACGATACTGGAACAAGGAGGGAAGGCCTGCATCTTGCTTCAGATGGCACACTAAATTGTTTGAGCTTTAACCTGTAGGGAGTGAAGGATGCCTGAGAAACTCTTAATAGGAAAAATAATATTATCTTGTTTATGCTTTAGAGCAGCTCATTGTGATGGCAGAGAAGAAGACAGACTTGAGAGCACCCAAGGCGGGAAGGTTAGTATAGCTGCTGCCATGGTCTGGATCACGGAACGAGGAGGAGTTGAAGTAATAAGGGCGGGGTAGAGGGAATCAGGAGACTTTTAGTCAGTAGTAGACTGGAGCCAAAAAAAAAAAAAAAATGCAAAGGACAAAAAGAGGAAAGCCAGGGCCAGTGCTGAAACTGCTGAAGTCAATCAACAGACAACGGAAACCAAGGAGAGTGGGCAAGACCTGACTGGCAGGAGGGGAGGGGAGACAGGATTCTGGGGACATGGAGTGAACTTCATTTACTTATATTTGCTTACTAATATTAATAAGCCCTAAGATAATATTATATAATCATATAGCCATATATCAGTATTTATATATTTCTAAGGTTTTAAACATTCACTTGGTACTCACTAGGTAAGATGCATTGTGTAGAGTTTTAGGACTTATGTGTCCTAAGGACTTACATGTCTAAGCAATATACAGTCTAGTCAGAAAGACACATAGACACATACATATATGCCAATAATGATAGCTGGGGCATATTGTTGACAGCAAGATCTTCTAATGTACTTTTAAAAAACCCCAAACGCTATAATAATGAAGGGACTAGAGAGACTTTTCTTCCTAGGAAGATAAAGATAACTTTATAGAGAAGACGCAGTTGCATTGGTCTTATCATATTGACAGATACGATGTTATTAATAATCATGCCGTGTTTTAGGATATTTCTAATAGTCCTGCACTCAGTATTTATGTTCTACAAGGTATTCTTCACAAGAAGTCAGTCTGCGAAGCCAGATTTACTGTCTAACCTCATCTGGGAACTTTTCTTGTGGGATAAAAAATGTGCCTCAAATTTCCTAGAGAATTAGTAGGAAAGCAGGTATTGAAATCCAGAACTATTTGACTTAAGCACTGAACCCAGTGTTTCTATGCCCAGTGCTGCACTGACTCTCAGAGTGAACAATGTCCTCTAGGAGGCTGGCAGGGAGGGCAAAAGGCTCTAAGTAGAGAGGTCAACATTTGCAGAGGCATTTAGTCTTGAAAAGCCAGAGCGCTGCTGAGGAAGGAGTGGGGCAGTGTAGCGGGGAGAGAGATAGCAGGAGGAACTAATATGAAGCACCATTGGTCAACAGCTTTGCAGGGCTATTTCATCGAGTTCCTAAAACATTTCCGAGGAAGGCGTGCCACTGGGAACATCAGTATGAAATTTCAAAATAAACTCCAAGTTCATAACTACACATTCTGATCCAAAGCGTAAGTTTTCAGATCATTGTTGTAGTAATCATACATGCACACGTTCATCTTATCATGGTTGTTTTTCAGGTATACGAACACGGCTAATATGTGCCATGGATCTTGGAATTAGGACATTACTTTTAATCTTATAGGGAATTATTTCAGCCAGTTGCCAACAATGTAAGGAAGACCAGAGGAATAGATAGGTATTGAAAAATGAAAGATTATTATTGATCATCTCCTCAAGAAATTTGGTTGTGAAGGGAGAAAAGACCTCTCTCATTTGATTTTATAATGATTTTACATATTTTCAAAGAATTTACTACAATGAAAAGCTGGACTGTATAGTGCATATTAAGCCCATCTTATGAAATTTTATTTATTGTCTTGGCAGAGAATAACCTCCCATAAAAAATCCCTAGAACAGACTGATGTTCGGATAACCACAATGAAGATGCTCACTACCTAATTTGTGGCTAACAAAATAACTATTTTGTTATGTAACTGTAAAAGAAAAGCCAACAACACTTCACCTAGGTCTTCTTGGAAACCAGAATAAAAGATTTGAGAAATAATTTCAACACTTAGTTTTTATAAATGACATGTTGTACTTAAGCTGATTGCCACATTGGTAGCATTCCAGTAAAAAGATTTTATTTGTGGTTAAATGTGCAAAATAAAAGTTTGTTTAATAGCTAAAACTACCCAATATACTAATTATCTGGGACACAATCTTTTCACACCCTGGTATACAAAAGATCTTTCTTTTAAAACACTACAATGCTAGCTGTTGAGATAAATATTGACATCTTCAACATTATTTGAAAACTAACTGGTCTCAGGGAACCGTTATTTTAGGAATTTTAGTCACATAGCAATGGAGTATTTACACATAAATTTTGAAATTTAAAATTATTTGTAGACTGTAAAAACAGAAGTAAATCATAACTTCCCAAGTTGTGATTTACAATACAATTTATATATTACAGCATTCTTAGTGTGTTAACGCACACTGCAAATAATGAGATATAGAGTTTCTGACTGAATTTGTACCCAATCTTAAAACAGATAATGCACAGGACTTAATCAACAGTTTCCAGGTACATTGTCAGTAAAGATTAAAGTGTGAAACCCCTGAATTATTCCAAAATGGCTTTACCCAGATTCACCTGAGTCTGGGCTATCAATTTGAATATAGTTGTAGAGATGTTGGGAAAATGGCTGAGGTGACTTATTTCACCCAGGAAGTAAAAGGGAGTAACAATCCCTTACATATACAACTTAATATTGAAAATTGAAAAAAAAAAGATGAAGGAAAGGAACCGTGTTGGCAACTTGAGGCGATAAAGTGTGTGAATGCTGACATGACGCCGTTAATCATGAAGAAGGTTAGGACGGCACGGCAAGCTGCGTTCCATAAACTTTCTTCAGAAAATGCTGCTACAACGGTCAAGTTCCATAAATTAATAACGGACACCTTTGCTTGGGAAATTGTTAACATTCTATGCACTGTTGTAAGGACTGACTGATTATGCAGCTTTGTTTAAATTTTAATAAAAATGCAAAGAACTGTCAAAACAAACAAATATAATTATGCACTCTGAAAGCTGCTTCGCATACTTCTAAAGGACAACACAAGACAATTAATTTCCCTGTACTGGGTTCAGTGCAGCTAGAGGCCTCAGTGAACAAGGTTACAGATCTCAACTCCAGGACCTGACAGTGAGGCTTCGTGTGTGCAGAAGCTGGTAACTCGACTGCCCCTCCCTTTTGCAAATAACAGCGAGGAAGGATTTAAGCACCACAGAATCCATGAACGGATCAAGGGCATTTTGCATATGCAACTTGTCCCAAATATTACAGAAACAATAAGGGCCAAGCCAATGATTTTTTGATATCAAAAAAGGATGTGAAATGTAAGTTCAAAAAGTTAATATTGGTTACTTTTTCCTTAGGATACTAGTAAGTATACAAACAAGAAAAATCTATGCATTGTTCAGTTTCCCAATGCAAGTTTCTTTTTTCTTTTCTCTTTTCTAATGTTTCATGCCTTTATCATCAGGGTTGCATCATTTACTTACTTCTGAACCTTCTCATTGGCTGCTTGGGAGGCCTCCACAGCACACTGGAGCTGTAATTCCACGTTTGCGTGCTCAGTCAGAGCCTGCTGAAGTTGGGTGGCCAGTTCTTCATTCTGTTGTTGAGTGATGGAAACAACGCTCTCCCTGTTTTTCAAGGCTTCTTCATAGGTACTAAGGGCATGATTAAACTGATCCTTCAAGTTTTCTTCTTGAGATAAGGATTTGTGCAAACTGAGAAAATATAAAAATACAAATATAAATAATGTAGGCTGAAAGTTCAATGATTTGTTTAATTAAAAAAAAACTTCATTTGAAACCCCTCTTCTAAAAATCAATATAGAATACTTAAATGGGCAAATGTAAATAGCTTTTATTACATATTATTATAATTGATCATTGTTCTGTAACTCTGCTACTAGGCCAGAAGCTACGCAGACAACTGATTATCTATGCTATCAAAGCACACAGAAAGATGCTGTAAAATGTTAATTTAATTATGTCAGTGTAAATATTACATTCAATTTTCTTTTAAAGAAATAGCACAGAACTAGAAAATAAAGTATCTCTGGGTAAATCAACGTATAATAAGCTGACTGCAAAGACGGGAGAGGAGAATGGACATCAGTTTAGGAGACCCAGGGCCTATCGAAGTCCTGAGAATGAACGAGCTTTGTGCAAATACCCACCAGCCTTACACACAGACCCTTCTACTCGCCACAGTGGAAATATGAATGAGGTAAAAATCACCAGTCAGGTGATATGTATCCAGATATCTATTTTTATGGTTAATGAATCTTAAGATAAATACATTTACTCATTAAGTGATATGGAGAGAGAGCATATAAATTAAGACAAAATGAATGCAGGGGAAAATGCAGACAAATAGAATCCTAAAATGCTAAAGGTCAGATCTTTGATATGTCATTACACCCACCACCTGAGGTTATTTTGAAATGGCACCAAGCACCTCACTCAATTAAATAAAGACATTTTGAAAATATAAATATTTAATAAGGGAAATTTAAAATCCACATAGGAGATGTTCTTTTTTTATTAAATAAAATCATTCTGGTATATGAATACAAAGGAAATGTCGACAGGAGTGTTGGAAGTACAACCACTGAGGTATATAACACAAGTTGATAAGATGAATGAAAGCAATATAATTCTTAAAGCCGCAGAAAGCTAGCTGAAGAACTTCAGTACTTGCCTGATACTGGTCTGATGCTTCATCTAAAACTGGTCAGATGAAAGTGATTATAAATTGTTTCTTTTCAAGTTACAGAAAAGCCTTTACAGTGTCCTCAATGTGGGGTAGGTATCTCATAGAAACTAAGACAGTTAACATATCAAAAGAAATCATTTCGGGATTTAAATTAATCCCCAACAATAGAGAATGCTGCTAAACTCTGGTCAGCTGGTTATCCCGTGTAGAATTAGAGTGATGTGCACAGAGATATGCGATTGGACCCTTTACATCCCAGCTCAAAGAGGCTACTTATTATTCAGGTTGCCTCCCAAAGATCCACCTTCCATCAGGATGTTACCAAGCTACAGTTTAGAGTATCAAACAGTAGTAGTTACAGTGATTTTTAAAAAGTACTTTTATTTTTTTTACAGTACAGTCTCTAACCCCCTCCTGGTCCGCCCTTCCACAGTTCTTCAACCCATTCCTCTGTTCTATCCCCTCTCTCCAAGAGGATGCCCGCCACCCTCCAGGCCTCCCCACTCCCTGGGGTCTCAGGTTTTTGGAGACTGTTGGTCTTCCTATGGGGTCACCTTCCTCCTCAGCTTCTTCCAGCCTTTCCCTAATTCAACCACAGAGGTCCTTGGCTTCTGTCCATTGGTTGGGTGGTAAGTATCTGGCTCTGTCTCAGTCACCTACTTGTTGGGCCTCTGGGAAGACAGCCATGTTTGGCTTCTTTCTGCATGCACACCATAGCATCAGTAATAGTGTCAGGGCTTGGAGCCTTCCCTTGAGATAGATCCCAAGATGGGTCGGTCATTGGACTGTCTTTAAGTGGTATCACTTAACATCCTTCAGTGGCATCTCATATACTCTGGAAAAAAAATTCCTAAAAATAACAAATTATATAACTAAACTCACTAAACCTACAAACAACCTTTTTGAATAGCCTTATTTCCTGTATTTGTTTTATGAATAAGGAAATTGAAACAAAGAGGTAGGTAATTTAAACAATCCCACCCCCTAGCAGAGGCTGCATTGGAACCCACAGCCCCACTCCTAGCTCCTGTGTTTGAACACTTACTCTGTGCTTACTATAGCTCTTCATTGTCTGGCTTTTGTATCTTCAATCAGTTTCTTTCTTTCTTTTTTTTTAATTGTATATTTTATATACATCTCAGATGTTATCCCATTTCCCCTTTACCCCCACCCACCCAGGAAGCCCCTATCCTATCCCCCTTCTCCTGCTTCGATGAGGATGTGCCCCCACTCACTCACCCACCCACTCACTCCCACCTCCCCACCCACGAATTTCCCCACACTGGGGCATCCAGCCTTCATGAGACCAAGGAGCTCCTCTCCCACCTATGAGGACAAGGCCACCCTCCCCTACATATACAGCTGGAGCCATGAGTCCCTCCCTATGTGCTCCCAGGCTGCTGGTTTAGACTCTGGGAGCTCTGTTCAACCAGTTTCTTAAACAGAAAGCTTTTCCTGCCCACGACATTTGCACTACTTTCCCTCTGTGACAAACTCTTACTCACTGGGGAGGTTTCAGTCTAAACTCTTCGTCTGCAGACAAACCTTTGAGACTCTCCAACCTTAAATTTTTTTATTGTTAGTTCTTTGGTAACTTCATCCAGCATATAATGTCTTCTGGTTACTCTCCCTCACACCTTCTCTTATCTTCTTCTCTTATCAACCTAATTTTCGCCTGCCTATCTCTTTCTCAGATGCAAGGCTTTGAATTTGGTTTTGCTTTGTGACCCACTTAGTTTAATCAGGGCCACCTGGTGGAAACTCCTGTGGGACTACAATGGAAGGCTAAGACTTCTCTCCTCTGTGAATCTATCAGTAGGAAATAGTTCTGAGTGAGTGGCCACCAGCCATTCTTGTGCAGATCCTGAGTAGTCACCTGCATTTGTTGAGAGGTTGTAATTATAAAGGCCCTGTAGTGTTCAGAACTTGGCATTTGGCATTAGAGCATTTTGCAGCTCTTTTTTTATTCTCTGGCCTTTACATTTGTTCTCCCTCCTCCTTTGCAATGCTCCCTGAACCTAGGAGGGCAGGATGTTAAATGCCTTGTTTAGGGCTGAACACTCAGCTGATGCCTATTCCTGCCCTTGTGTAGCCCTGCCTCTGTAAGCTCCACAGCTCACTGGAAAGTTTCTCTGATAAAGGTTGTAGTTACCTATGTGTGTAAGTGTGTTCATGCACACGCACAATTTAGAAGGCAGTTTGAGCATATGTCGGTCGGTGTAGCTAAACAATAGAATTCAGTTCACTATTAGTGTGAGTACAAAACTCATGTAGGTACTATGGAAATCTGTAGGAATTTCTCAAAAAGCTGAAAATAGAACTACCACATGGTTATTCCTCTGCTGGTCATATACCCTGCCCCCAATTATTTTTTAATTGATTTTATTATTATATTATTACTTTCTCACTTTACACCCCACTCACTGTGCCCTTCCCAGTCACCTCTTCCCACCATCCTCCCCCATCTCCCTATCCCTTCTTCTCTGTGTGGGTGTAACCCTCATAATTTACAGTCCACTACTGAAATGCTTGTTCATCCATCCTGATTGCTACTGTATTCATAGTAACTAAGAATGGAATGAGTCAAGTTGTTCATCAATTGATGAGTGGATAATGAAAAACGTGGTGCAGATATACAACGAGTGGGACTGGCGGGTAAGTGGATGAAACTGGAAAACAATTATACCAAGTGAGGTAACCCGGGAACAGGAATAACTAATGCCATATGTGTCCCTCTGTTTGCATCTCTCATTTTGTGTGTTCAAGAGTTCCTATAGATGACAGCGGTCTAGAAGGAAGCTATTGGGAGAAGGGTCTTTTTGAGGGAGAGGGGCACTAAAGCACAGGTATTAGGAATGTCGAGGGTGCAGTACTGGGAGTGGACAGGTTTACACTGGGAGGAGGTGGCAGGATAGGACAGGCCAGGTTAATGAAAAGGAAAGTTCTATGAAGAAGCCACGGGGAAGCTACTCTCTTATAATTCTATATGGCTCCTGCCATTTTTTTTGTTGGCCCACATGACTACGTAAGACCCTCTAGCTGAACATACCACCTACCCTGATGGTATGATACAGAGAAATGAAGCTAGAGCTAAGCTAGAAGGATCTTCTTTGCCAGAAAGCTTGCATAGTGTGGGAGGTACTGGGTAGTCAGCTGAGGAAGATGGAAGGGATGCATCAATGGACCTACCCAGCTGTGAACCCCACTGATCATACACTGAAATTCCATTCTTAACTGTATGGTGAATTTTAGGTAAAGGTTAATTGTAAGGTCTATTTTATTTTATAGGAACTACATATTCATTAAGAACTTAAAGGTTAAAATGTTTATTCTTGTAAGGAAATTTTCCTCTATCAACCCACAGTAGGGAGAGTAAAAAGTTAAGTACGGAGACTCCGCTGTCAGCATATGGACGTTTACAAACATCGGTACTGCTCTTCTTGTCTCATAGTTCCTACCCTACGTGGACAGCAGGACCCCCCTCTACTCAGGACACAAGGTTAGCTTTCCTCAGGGAATCCTACTGCATGTAGTTGCCATTAAAATGATTCATTTCTAGATTCATTTGTCAGCACAGCAGAAGCATTACAACTTAAGGAGCCTTCAACAGTGTGTGGGGGGAATACACTCAGTTATAGTAAGAAGAGATGACAGAGAAGCAGAAGAGTCATTGAATTACAGAAATTCAAAACACATGACCAGTGTTGGAATTGTAACAATTTCTTGTTTGCTATGAAGGTAATGAGGTACAATAAATAAAATTTCAAGTCAAATTTCAATTTTGAAATAACATAACCCTAGTGATTTAATGTTCTCAAATATATAAAAAAATGAGACTTTAAAATATTACTAAGTAACAGTAATATTTTAACAGTGATAGTTAATCTCAACTGTTAACTTCTTAGGATCTAGAATTTAGTAGAAGATAAACTTCAGGGTTTTTCTGCAAAGGTTTTCTAGAAAAATTTAACAGAGGTAGGAAGACTTACCTAAGTGGCATGCAATA